GTTTAACGTGGATTTCTGCAATATCAGGGGCTTACACTCCAACCTTAATGCTGTTCACTACCACCTTCAGACAGTGCAGCCGGTCTTGCTTTTTTTGACTGAGATGCAGATATCCTCTCCAACCGACACCTCCTACCTCCAGTACCCTGGGTATACTTTGGAACATTCCTTTGTACCACGGGCTTGGGTATGTGTGTACATTAAAGAGGGTATCAATTTCCGTCGCCTCAGCAACTTTGAAGGTAGGGACCTCTCCATCTTATGGTTGCGTGTAGACGTCGATGACCATCCCCGCGTCTACGCCTGCCTCTACAGGTCCCATAGCGGAAATGCCGAAACTGACCGACTCTTTGATCACGTCCAGGTGGCTACAGACTCCGTGCTTCAGCAGATACTATCATCTGAAATTGTGATCCTTGGCGATTTCAATGCCCACCACTCCGAATGGCTTGGATCGCCCACTACCGATCATGCAGGCAGATCTGCTCATGACTTCGCCTTGGCCTATGGTCTGACAAAACTGGTCACCTCGCCTACGCGAATCCCAGATGTCGAAGAGTTCACTGTTGGACCTTCTGCTGACTTCACATCCGGATAATTACAAAGTGTCCATAGATGCCCCTTTTGACTCCTCGGACCATTGTCTAATCCGGAGTATGGTACCACTCACTTACTCACCGCGGCCGCAATTTGCTGGCTGTCGTCGTGTGTGGCACTATAAGTCAGCAGACTGGGATGGGATGCGCACTTTCTTTTCATCCTACCCTTGGGGCCAGGTTTGCTTCTCGCAGAATGATCCCAACGTCGCTGCCGATTCTGTCACCGATGTTGTCCTTCAGGGTATGGAACTTTTTGTTCCTTCCTCTGTGGTTCCCATTGGTGGCAAATCCCAGCCTTGGTTTGGTCACTACTGTAAACTGGCATCTCGCCAAAAACAGATATGTTATCAGGCCTGGGCAAACGCAGCGGCGGTCGGGGATAACAACACTAGCGATTTCAAAAAGAAGTATAACTTGGCCTCCAGGTCCTGCAAAAGAGTAATTTCTAGAGCGAAGTCAGAGCACATTAGCAGAATTGGCGAGAGATTAATAAAACTTCCCTCTGGAACACGCGCGTTTTGGTCTCTTGCCAAGGCTGTTGAAGGAAATTTTTGTAAGCCATCCCTTCCACCCCTGCACAATGGCGACGAATCGATGGCCCATACTGCAAAAGAGAAAGCGGATCTTTTATGCTCACTCTTTGCGTCTAACTCGACTTTAAATGACAGGGGATACATACCGCCGACCATCCCGCGGTGTGAGAGCTCTATGCCGGAGATCCGGTTCACACAAAGCTTAGTGCGTAAAGCACTCTTTTCCCTTGTCATCCACAAGTCGAGTGGGCCTGATGGAATCTCACCAATTGTGCTGAAGACGTGTGCTCCTGAGTTGGCTCCGGTACTAACGCGTCTTTTCCGCCTCTCCTACTCTTTAGGTGTCGTTCCGAACTCATGGAAGACAGTTTTAGTGCACCCGATTCCTAAAAAAGGCGACCGCTCACTCCCTACTAATTATAGGCCCATAGCCATCACCTCCTTGTTCTCCAAGATAATGGAGTCTATTATAAATTGCCAGCTCCTGCGGTACCTAGAGGACCACCAGCTGATCAGTGACCACCAGTACGGTTTCCGTCAGAGTCGCTCGGCTGGTGATCTACTAGTATACCTGACTCATCGTTGGGCAAAGGCGATCGAGACCAAGGGGGAAGCATTGGCGGTCGGTCTGGATATCGCGAAGGCCTTCGATCGGGTTTGGCACAAAGCGCTTCTTTCGAAGCTTCCTTTTTATGGGCTTCCTGAAAAGCTTGCGGTTGGATCACTATCTTTCTTGCGGACAGGAGCATCAAGGTTGCAGTCGACGGTGCATGCTCGGACTCCAAATCCGTAAACGCTGGTGTTCCACAAGGCTGTGTGACATTGCCTACGCTGTTTCTTCTTCATATCAATGATATGCTTCAAATTGATGGCATTTATTGTTATACAGACGACAGCACGGGTGATGCCCTATATACCGGCCGCGCCAACATTTCACGGGAAAACGTCATCGAGTGCCGGAACAAACTTGTGTCTGAAGTCGAAACTTTGTTAAACCGAGTAACGAATTGGGGCCGACTTAATCTAGTCCAATTTAACCCTACGAAGACACAAGTATGCGCGTTCACCGCAAAAAAAATACCATTTGTCGTATCTCCTCTTTTCTAACTGCTTCAGCTAGTATTGGACCTCACCTCGCATCCAGCGCCGAGCGGCTCGAATAGTCGACAACCAGGACCTTTCCGATCAGCTTGATCCTTTGGCTTTGCGTAGGGATGTAGCTTCACTCTGCATCTTCTATCGCATTTATCACGGGGAGTGTTCTGAAGAATTGTTTGGTTAATTCCAGCTGCTGCATTTCCCCATCGTACATCGCGACAAAAATTTCATCCCCATCATCTTATTGCGTGGCTATCCACAACCGTGCGTTTTTGTCGAAATTTTTTACTACGTACGACAAAACTGTGGAATATGTTGTCGCCAGCAGTGTTTCCGGACCGATACGACCCAAAAACCTTCATAAAAAGAGCGTACTCCTTCCTTAAAGGCCGGCATCGCATTTGTGATACTCCTGGTGTTGCAAGTGTGCATGGGCGACGGTGATCACTTACCATCAGGTGAGCCGTCTGCTCGTATGCCCCCTATAACATAAAAAAAAAATTAAAGACAAAATCATTACAACTTAAATATAGGTCTCGCTGTTTGTTTGACGAAATCTTTGATGAAATCTTTCGCCATATAAAATTTAATCTTATAGGGGACAAGCCGGATAGTAAGACCCACTTTTCAATAAAGCTATTAGGTAAAAATATGGATCTACAAGGAGTATTGCATCGTGTTGGTATTCAATAGAAAGGTCCTTCATCTTTCATAATAGCCTTGTAAGCGTTATTAATATCAGTTTTGAGTGAATCCGGTTTTAATAGACCTCTCAAAAAAAGTGATAGTTACTACTTACTACTTACTTACTTACTACTCCAGCGGATAATAGCCTAACGTTAAAAATTATCCAAGTAATACTGGCCCTTGTTGCACTTTACCATTCATTAAACTTTTGCAGATACTAATATTTATCTCTCTCCCACTTGAACCTTTTTTTGTAATTGCCATCTTTTCTTCGCAACATTACTCCTGCTTCCTTGAAGATAAAGATGCTGGCGGTTGTCTTCTTTTATTATCTTTTAAAGGATATTTATAAAGCATTTCCCTATAAAAATATGAATTTAGTATATTTAAAAACAATCTTTATTCACAACGAGTTGGAAAAGCTTTAAAATCAGTATTTCAACGAGAAATAAATAATAGTTACGCAAAGAGCAACTATCCCCAAAAGTAACAATCCTTTTGGATACGTATATTTATCCTTTATTTTTATAAAATAAATAATAATTATACAACGAGAAAACGTTATATTAACTTAATAATAATAATGCCTACAGGAAATTACGGCTAATCCAAGTGCTCCCGAGTAATGAACAAGCCCATCATCTATGGCCGTATACAGAAAGAAAGCCGAAAGCCGATCGGCGCCGATCCTTCCTACATAAGGGAAGCCGATTAAAGCAGATCAAGCAAAATGTCGGACTCATCGGACGATGATTTGGTTTTGTTAGAAAATATTTATTTAAAAATGCGAAAAACAGCTATACATTCTATAAATAGAGAAAGGAAACGTTTCGGAGAATACCATCATTTATTTGTAAAAAAAAAAAATTTGATGAACAAAGATTTTATACATATACAAGAATGATTCAAGAAACATTTTATTACATTTTGGATTTAGTGAAAAACCGTTTGATGAAAAATTGGGCCAATTGGCATAAACAACCAATCCTTCCAGAAGAAAGACTTGTTGTCACCATTCGGTAAGTACGAAACAAATAATTTTAGCGCTTAGTTAATAAAAGATAAAGTTATTAGATTTATAAAAAGATTATAACTTAGATTGATTTAATCTAAGGATAATAATTCAAATACAAATTATTTATTATTCGGACCAGCGCGTGTCGGCGCTGATCGGCGCCGATCGGCTTTCGGCCTATGGCTTACCGTACCGAAGTGCAATCTGGCTTGGCTATCCGATGAGGAGAGGCAAGAGCTAAATATTTCAGAGTGGAATAATATAATAATATTAGCTGTCCCAACGAACTTCGTACCTCTTAAAAAAATTGGGATTGACACTTGTATGTATTTTTGTATGATGTATCATAAAATATAAATCCAAATTTGTTAAAAAAAGAAATTAAGGGTGGACCACCCTTAACATTATGGGTGATAAAAAATAGATGTTGTCCGATTTTCAGACCTACTGAATATGCATATAAAATTTCACGAAAATCGGTCGTGGCGTTACGGAGTAGTTCCATTACGCACACCGTGACACGAGAATTTTATATATAAGATTAAAACTTTCAGACCTGGCCCACAACTAAAGAAACTTGGTTCAGTGGTAGAAAGTTTGTCTTCCACGAAGGCGGTCCAGGTTCGATTCCCGGGCCGAGAAAGGACATTTTTTTATTTTGCAGTTTTTCTAAACCGGATTAACATCAATTTCATATGATGGTATAAAATAACACCATTTATTTTTATTTTTAGCAGAGAATATTCAAACAGTTTGACTGCCTGGCACGATGTCTGAAATTTCTGGTGGATTGGCTAGGAGTCTTATAAAATGTATATTCATTCCACACTAAGCAATCTCGAAAGAGAAGTATATAATGTACCAACTGCTTCTTTTTTCGCACAGATCCACGTAGAAAACAGTTTATCGACGGACTGTATACTTTCGGTGTGATTATTACATTATTGTTTAGTCGCAAAGCTATTTGTGTACTTACGATAAACAATAAATAAATAAATCTTCATTGATAAGATTAGATGCATACAAATACAAACTTATCAGCAGACGCAGTAAACACGTTTATCACATTAGAGTGAGTAGTGCCCTGTGGCCTTTACTTATTTTTAGGACTCTGAGACTTCCGGGGCGCATGTCACCGATATGGAGTCTGTTGCTATGTGCACGAGACGCACCCGACTACTCCGCCACAGACCTATGAATCACGCAACAATGTTTATGATTGAATAAAACGCTTATAAAGCGAGTATTTAATCCACAGTAGGTGGTACTTGAGGTTTCATAGCCGGTCATCAGATCGAGTGGTCACAAAACTTGTGAGTAAAAAACGTAGCTGTAATATATAAGTATTTTCTTATTTCAATTTAAATTTTGCGTAAATAAAAATATGCAGTATAATAAATAATATAAGTGGAAACTGCGACGAAAAATACTGGTTTCATTAACGATATTTGTAGCAAACGACAGACATCGCTCCATTAGCAACAAAAAGGGTGTTAAGAAAGTAATAATATTCTATATTGACCAGACTATACTACGAACACTGATGGGATTGGTGAAATTTTACTAATAATCAAAGTTGTTAAAAGTTTAGCGGGATCCCTACATCCACCCGCAGTATAAATTCCCAATAGCTGAAAGTTTGCAGCCGTCTGCAGGTGTTTCTATAGATTTATCCCGAGAGAATATAATCCTATTTTCGTATCCAGGAACGGGGTGCAAGCAAATATTTATGTTGATATTTCTGTGCTATAAATCTTCCATTTAACTACCTACGGCAGGAATAGCTTTTTATCTGTAGTGAAGAGAATGACCCGATATAATATAATTATTGTACCTCAACTCTTCTGAGTCATTGTATGAAGGTGCGCCCTTTCCGAGTTATTTCCATTCAGCAATTAATTACTTAACAAGGTACTTATTAATTTTCGCTTTCCATCTAGAGATTTATTAGAGGCATTTCTCTTCAATGCCTAAATACACACATCAAAAGTGTCTAGGGATCAACATATATTTTTGCAATAACTTTTCTCCTGATTGATATTAATTAAAATTTTCTTTAAGGATTCATCAAATAAAGTGTTTTCGTTTGTCACAGTAACGATAAACCAAGTCACCTTTGCATTAATAAAGAAATTTGCCATTTTCCTAATAAAGGGATTTTTGACATTTGAACCACTAACACAAAAGTTCGAAAAAAAGACTGAAATAACAGTTTTCTCTAAAATTTTATTGGGTAACTTAAACAATTAATAATCCGTATTTCTATCGCGAACACTAACAACACAAGAACATCGGTTTGGCATACTCAAAATGAGTTCATCCAAATCACGCTGTGGAATAGCCGCCCATGTTCGTTGCAACAACAAAAAAAGGTCTTCTTGCGACTGGATACCCTCCATATTCGGCAGAGCTCTTCTCTGTAGCATATCCCATGCATGCTCAATCGGGTTCAAGTCTGGCGACTGAGCAGGCCAGGGCAGGACATTGATGTTAGCTGCGGCGAGAGTCTGTCTTACAACTCTTGCGGTGTGCGGTCGTGCATTATCATGCATTAACTGAAATAAGGGACCGATTTGCACTTGTAGAGGAACGATGACGTCTGATACAATCGTCTCAGCATAAATTTGAGCGTTGAGGTTGCCTCTGATCCAAATCAACTCAGTTCTTCCGCCGATCCAAATACCCGCCCATACCATGATGGTTCCACCACTATAAGGATGGACTTCCTGGCAGGATTTTAATCGCTGTTGGCATCCAGGGGTTCTCCAGTGTCGTATACGTCTTGTATCCGGTCTCATACCAAAACGAGACTCATCAGAAAAGCACACGAAACGCCATTGTTCTTCTGCCCAATTTCTGTGTTCAAGAGCCCATTGATATCGAATCCTACGATTGTGCATTGCTATAGGTGGTACCAGTAGCGGTCTTCGGGAATGAAGGTTCACTTCATGCAAGCGGTTTCTGACTGTTTGGTCGCTAATTAAGTTCCCTGAAGAGTGATGAAGCCTCACGGCTAACATCATGGCGGTTATTGTTGGAGCTCTTCGAGTTAAGATTTGAATGTATCGGTCTTGTCTCCGTGTGGTGCAGCGATACCGTCCTCCATGGCGCTCAGCCACGGTACCAGTGCTTCGGTATCGTGTCCAAAGTCGACTGATAACACTCTGACTTGTATTCAGAGCTAAAGCCACAGTACGTTGCCGGGAACCAGCTTCTATCATTCCCACGGCTCTGAGCATTTCTTCCCTGCTTAAATGACGTCGCCGCTCCATAATAACGTTGGTTTTAATCAGTAGTAGCGAAACAGTAGCACTAATAATGTCTTCAATGCGTTGTATGTTTTTATAGGGAAAATATTGACAGCTGATTTTCATCTTTTACTCGAATTTGATTCACAGTTCCTGATTCAAATTATGAAATGCACCAAAAAGGATCCATATAAATTTATAAAATCATAAATTTATTACAAAGCCACATCTCAATCTCAAGAAATCCGCATAAAAATGCTTGATCCCTAGACACTTTTGATGTGTGTAATAAATTTGAAATTATTATTTTTTCGAATCTAGGTCATTATGTTTAGGAAATAAATTCCAATCAGAAAGGTATTATTGACGACATTCATGACAGAAAGTTGAGCGCGCCGGACTTGAAATCCCATGATGCCCCAAGTTTGATTTACAGGTAAATGCAAAAATTTCCCTTCGGCCTGCTATAAAACCGTAGTAACTGGTTTGGTGAAGGAATTATTCTTCCTTGTACTTAACTAGTTTCGATGGAGCAATTATTCTTCTGAACTTTCATGGTCACTAACATTATAGCTATTAACGGGATTGTTACCATGTACGTTGTATTTTATGAGTCTCCGATATTTCGGCACTGTTGCAACAGTACATGGTAACAATCCCGTTAATAGCTATTATAATCATTCTTCTTTCTACGAAACCAAGTTATCAAGGTTGTGTACAAAGAATTCAATTTGTTTCTTAGGTTTTCACGCACATCACTCATTAAATAAAGCTAGTTTTTTACGGGTTAATGCACGAAACTTTATTTATTTATTTGACGTTTCGTAGCCTTTACAGGCTACGTCGTCTGAATCAAATTTTATTTAATTTTGTCGAGCTACCTTCGCAAGACTTTTTATTGAGCGTTCGGTTATTTCATTGTTCGATTTTTAAATTTTTTATTGTCTATATATATGAATTTATTACTTAATTTAGTTAATAAAGTACTTTATTTAAAATTCTTTTTGTAATTTTGAGTTTATTTATTTGACACTAACTACCGTAAACTACCACCGGTTCCAACATTGGGAGACCTTCCTGAGAAGAACCGGCGAAACAAACTCAAGAGAGGCTTTCTATCTCCTTCTTATGTTAAATTATGCAAACAAAAAGAACTAATAGTATCTGTTGGTCTTGCAGTGTGTCAAATAAATAAACTCAAAATAACAAAAAGAATTTTAAATAAAGTACTTTATTAACTAAATTAAGTAATAAATTCATACATAGACAATAAAAATTTTAAAAATCGAACAATGAAATAACCGAACGCTCAATAAAGTCTTTCGAAGGTAGCTCGACAAAATTAAATAAAATTTGATTCTGACGACGTAGCCTGTAAAGGCTACGAAACGTCAATAAATAAATAAAGTTTCGTGCATTAACCCGTAAAAAACTAGTTTTATTTAAGGAATTCAATGTTATAGTTTCGATGCAAGAAATTTTGTTCCTTGTACGCAACTAGTTTCCATGGAATAATATTTTTTTTTGTACAAGAAATTTTATGATAGACAAATAAGAATTTATTTAATGTAGGTAAGGCTGTAGCAAGAAAACATAAAAACTACACAATAATTTATTTTTGAAAGACGATATTTAATAATAACAGAAATTGTTACTGAACAAAATATGTGACCCGCGACTCGTAGACCCAAATAAAGCCGCAATACGAATGCACAATCCAGTATAACTAAGTTATGAGTTTAAAAATCAGAAATATAAAGCATACTGTCATATGATTTCTAGGCAGACAGCCTAGACATTTTATTTAATTTTAATTCATTTATAGACTTCAAAATCTGCGAAACGACATTCGTGTCTATGTGATATTTAGACGTTTTCGTCTCACTTTTTTGAGTGTCTATTACTTATGTCTCTTTGATCATCGTATCCAACAAATGAGCCTTTTCCATATTCTAATGTTACTTATATCGCCAAGTTCGATTTAGAAATAATCATTCCTTGCTCTGTAGCTAGTAAACTTTTATATTATAATGCAAACATTCCTTGTACGTAACCGCGGTTTTGTACAAAGAAGAATAATTCCTCAATCGGAACTAGTTACGTATAAGGAAGAATACTTCCTTCATCGGAACCAGTTACGAAAATCCTCTCTACTATCTCGATTATGATCTTCGTTGTTTCTGATATGCACACGAAGTGCATTGGAAGAATAAAAAAATCAAAATAAAACGAAGCAGAAAAACTCCATGTCCGCTTCTTGAGAGTTCATCTGTCCTAAACTTCGTTGGTATAATAAATCACATTTATATTTTGTGGAATCTGTTATCTAATTGCCATGACAATGTTTTGTAAACGCCGTTATCGATGTAAACAACTTTTAAGTAATTCCGTACTATGGACCTCAAGGGATATATTTTTAGACCGACTCAGCGGTGGCAGCCCCATTCGTCAGGTAACAGTGGAACGAATCCCTCGTGCTCTCCGCGGGGTCCATGCATCATCTCAACGCGGCAAAATGAAACTCCAATATTTTGTACGTGGTACTTATATAAAGTTACTTTTTTCGTTTTTGTAACTCGGTAAAAGTTTAATGTCAATGTTAATTAATGTATATATTTTTTTGAAAATTGCATTTTTTGTAATATTAATTAATATTGCAAATATTTGTTCATTTAAATTATAATTTAACATTATTATTGGTATTACATCCGTTAGCTTTTAAAATAATTATCTGAATACTGAAAGTGCTCCGTTTACTCGTTGTAACCACTTAGATATGTGCACAAAGCTTGAACAGATTGCATTGTGATTAATGAAGTTTATATATGTATCGAGATAAGGCAGTTCATACTTTCTTTTTATTACGATAATGTAGTTTGCTTGCTGCTGTTAGTCAGAAAGTGCAGAGTATTGCTGTCTTTGCGACTACAAGTTCAAATTAGTTACATCTAAGATTTATGTCTTAACAAATGTGGATTTATTCACATTGTGGCAGAATTAAAATTTTTCAGTTCCTCCAGGTTTATATAGTATAAGGTGTCATTTTAGATGATAAAAAATATGATCCTCAAAATGACTGTTAAAATTTAAAAAGAATTCGGTGAAATGGTGTTCTTCAGATTCTCTTTTAAAACTTTCCGCCGCGAGATGACATGGTCCTGGATGGCAAGTCTTCAAACAATTTTGTAATAAGAACCTATCTCTAAATTAACGGCTTATTTATTCCACACAATAAAAAATATTCTTATAAGCACCACAATAATTTATTCAACTTGCTATAAATTTCTATTTTAATCTTGTTTTTTTGTTCTAGATTTACGCGGCGTTGGTACTTAGCAGTCATTTCATGAATGCCGATAGTAATGAGAAGGTCTTCCACATCACGGACAAGATCACGTCATGTAGCAGCTATCTCTCAAACCTCATCAATCTAGTCTGCAATAATTCTATTAAAATCATCAAACGGGATACCTCGTTGCTCTTAGGTGAGTGATGTGCTTGTAGTGTAATATTTTCAGCTTTCATGTTTGTGGGATTCTTCTATTTTCTGAAAATATTTTTGGGTAGGTTGAAAGTAATATTGGTTTTAATTTTTTAATCTTAGTTTCATTATTGTAATAATTTTTCAGTTTATTCGATATTATTAGGCATGTTACCAGTAGCGTTAAAAAATAATAATAATAATTCATTTATTACAGACAACTGTGATCCATATTTGTTAGTAGACTTATTCTATGTTAGTAGTATATTTCGTAGAAGTAATAAATTATGACAGTACAACGTGAAAAACATTATAAAATAAGAACTTCCTCACTGCCCTCCGTATATAATTATTACTTATGTCATAATAAACCAACTACAGTCATTAGGATGGTGTTTGTGCTTGCTCGTATTCTGCTCAGCAATGAAGCTATGTTTTTGTGCATCCATGCGTGAAATCCGTTAATGCGCTCCTCGGCAAACATACCAGGGGCACTACAGAATCATGGCAAACCCAACAGCATCCTAAACGCGTTATTGTATTGTACGCGGAGAGCGTTAAGTGATTTCTTAGAAAAGCTGCACCATAGGCTTCCCGTGTAAAACGCCTGGCAGACATAAAACTAACCACTATTATTAAATAATTTAACTATATTTAAATACATCCCAAAAATAAGAATTAGCACAAAATTAATACTCTAATGACTGTAATGACATTTACACGCAAAGATATAGTACATTGTTTACTACAGTTAGTTTTGTTGAGTTAATACACCCGAGTTGGGAATAGCTCTCTCCATGAGAAAATTCTTCACTGCTAATCTCTTCGATTGTTTTAGGGACTTCAAATTATTGTGGCGTTTAGAATATTCCATACTCTCTAAAACTGTCCATAAATCGTAATCAAGCGAATCAAGAGCGGACGCGGGCTGAGAGACATTTGAGAAATAAGTATTTCAAAAAATTATTGCTGTCACGCATAGGTAACTACCGAGCGATAGGGACAACAGTAGTTAAAGCTGGAAATTGCGTATAAGAATTGCAAAATTCGAGGTTTGGCTCTGGACGATGTCCTTCTCGAATATTAGATATACGTAAAAGAAATTTTACACAATGAATACTTATTATTATAGACTACTATACTAGTTACACTATGCTTCTATGTTTTGTAAATGCATATCAAATCTCCGCACTAGACGTCTTTGGTAGTGATAAAACATTGTTTATTTTTGGCCTTTTTCGAGGGCTTCTAGTTTCTTTGAAACACAAGTTATCTAAAAAAGGAAGACATAGGGGCGTAGTCTGTGCGGAAAGAGAATGGGCTTGGCGAAAAACGGAACTAACATTAAGATTTTTATTTGGCAATCAAACCCAGCAATGTGTAAAACGTCAAAGTTTTATATTGATACGGAGTTGTTTGTTGTTGTGATTTCTTGCGGTTTTTTGTATTTAATTTAATCATGTCTAAAAGAGGTAAAACCTTACAAATACGGTAGAAAAGCACTACAGCGCCCTCCAATCTAATTCCCATTCTCTTTCCGCACAGACTCTAGAATGAGTAAAATTATATGTAAAGTATGAAAATCTTTTATTTAGTGATAAAAATCAAGGCGGAATCAGCTGAGAACGTTTGTATGGAAAAACATTACCCGCCTCCCCTCTTAAGATCGGCACTAGGTGACGGCCAGTCTTCAGCTCTGATTTTTCATTCTTTTCCAACCAAGCTTGGGTGAAACGAGCTCTATGATCCGGTGATAAAACTTGCTGAAAGTATAATAGCCATTCTTGTTTATGGAACAGTCTTGTTAAGGGGCTTTACCATCTTCTCCAGAATCGTATTTCGATACACTTGTGCCTTCTCTATACGCAATTTTATCAAAATTGGTTCAGTGGTTTAATTGTGACGAGGTAACAGATAGATAAACAGAAAGACAGACACTCTTTTGCATTTATAATATTAACATTGATGGATGATCTAGTTACGTAAGGAATTCTATCTGTGTGAATAATGACGTTTTTCTTACATAACGAAAGCACAACATTTAATAACAAAATATGAACATTAGCAAGCTGTCGTTAGTGCATTTTTTTTATTTACTGCTATATTATTCACTCATTCTGAGATGAATTATAGTTAGCAGTTCTTACCAATCAGTGTTATTATTTGTAATCGTGTGTCGCGACTTTCATAATTATGACATGCAATATTTATCAGTAATTAGCACATGTGTTTCGTTCGGTCCCGCTTCAGATGTATTATTTGAACATAATTACAATATATACTTAAAGCAGATTATGAATAATTAATATTGCTTTTGATAATCAAACTGGTAATTGACTCCGATCGCGCTGTAATAATAGTTGTGACTATCTAAATCTTATTAATTATTTACTAGAACTGGCGACATAATAACATGATAAAAGATAATTTTACACGTGTATTTAAGAGCATAATTTATGTTATGCATTTTGTTTACATCAGCGGAAAAAGCTTCTTATGTTTACTTTTAATGGTGCCTCCGGAGTACATACTTTTTAGGAATTCTAATGGATAACAATATCGGTCAGAGATAAATTTTGATGACTTGAGTGAGGATCATTCATTTATCATCATTGTAGGTAGGAGCGTTTTTTAATTCTGCGAGGGTGTCATCTCGCAGAAGAACAGGTAGGGGAAGGCGAAGGCGTTCCCTGGCTGCGCCAGCCCAGTGACCTGAAGCCATCCGAGTGAATCTCTCGCTGCCCGATTCCGTGACGTCAGCCCTCTCTTGTCATTCTGTCCTACATGAGTGGACTGCGGAAGGGCCGGCGAGGTCAACGCGAGCGGTGAGGTGGACAATAGGCCGCGCACTTAGATCCCAGCGCGGGCAGTCCTGCGGACGTCTGCGGGATCACCCGAGATACTCTGGGTAATCTCTGACGTGGAGCTCCGCCTGGGTCGTGAGGCTGTTGGTGGCGAAGACGCGGTGAAGTCCCTCAACGGGGATCTAGCGGTTCTGCACTTAACAGCAGGTCCGTTCGTTGGTGTCCCCTTTAAGGGCCTCAACGTCTGTAAATAAATAGAAATTTTGCCTGCGTAATAAAAAAAGGGTTAACATGCCCAAGTGTTAGATTACAATCTCACGGTGCAATTTGTTTCACTGTTTTTACCATTAAGTTGTCCTTGGATGGAATTCGAGAGAATGCATACGTTACGCTAAGTGTAAATTGCATGCAGTAAATGCTGTTAAATTTCAGCACTAAAGTTAGCTACGAGATGTAGCGCAGAATGGAATTATAGATATAAACTTCTGAGCCGTCGACATAAATGATGAAGGCTGTTAAATAACGACTTAAGACTGAAGCTTGTACTGTAGCAAAACTTACTAGCAATAAACGATAGCCTGCTGAAATTTCCCGCTTGGCAGGTTGAATTTCGTCGCTTTAGGTTAAATGTACACTAGATCTGAGAGATAGTTGCGCGCGGGAAAATCTCACCAATGTGATAACGATATTTTCCCTTTCATGTAGGTTTACCATTCTACCGGATTTCTCTAGACATATCCGTACTTTTAAACTTTTGTTTTCCCGGATTTTTTAGCTTGTTGAAATGAGTAATGAAAAACTAAAAGTTCATTAGAAATGTTAAATTAGTTTTTATTTTACAAATCAGTCCACCTCCCCCACAGCGTACTTTTTATTTATTTAATGATTTTATAATGGAATGCACATACATGCCGAATTACAGTGTCAGGACTTTATTTTAAAAAGCGGGTTTTTGTCTGGTCTTTTCCAAATTCCTTCTCTTTGTTTGACGATGTCTTTATAAGCTACTTCCTGAGCAGCTGACTCGGAATGAGAGTTTTATTATGATTTACTTAAAATATTTTTTTTTGTTTCAGATAGGTTGACCCCTCGCTCGATACAAGAATATAGGAAGAAACAGCGTGTACTTGCCAGAGAGCGGTGGAGGCGAGTGCGTCGTCAGGTTGCGAGCGAGTGTTGTGACCAAGCCTGCACGATCGGCCAAATGATAAAATACTGCCCCGAAGATGCCAGACTAGTTAGAGAAAGACCGGAAATCTTTGAATGAAAAGTCAAACACGATTACGAAAAGTTAAACTAACATAATTTACAAATGAGAGCACGAGGTACAACCACTATTAGTGAGAAAATATTTATAATTTTCGACTGAAACGTTTTGTTTTCCCGCCGATTTATTTTATAAGGTATAGTCAGTATGTAAAATAAATATACTATTAGAAAACTGATGTTGTGGTGATTTCATTTAATTAAAATATTTTGAACGTTACAATTCACGTCATTATTGTGAACTCTACAGCCAGCTCCATCCATCTCTACAGTTGGATTTACGTTTTAGTTCTATCTAAAGAACTTTACTATATTTTGAGACCCTGACCCGGAAACCGACTTGAACTGAGATGCTAAGATATGGCAGCATGGCCAACCTGGTATGAAAACTCCGTAAGTAGGATAAAATAAGAAAAGAATATAAAAAGTCCAACATTGGAATATTAAAGCTCTATATCCTTCTTCGATAAACGAACTTTTCAACACAAATGTTCAAGTTAATTTTAATTAAATTTAATTGAAGTAGATTATTAATATTATTTAATTAAGGACATTTTAAATTAAATTGCTATACCCTTTCAGGGTTCATGTGTCTGTATCTAATCTTTATGTAACATCTGTAATAACCACATGAGTGCAATAAATAAATAATAATAAAATAAAAAAAAACATCGAACAAAGAGTTCCTGAGATAAGCATTATCAAGTTATGCAATCAAGCTTAATAACAGAAATTTTGTGCGTGTAATTAGTTAAGGTTAGGTAAGGTATCGAATATTTGGTGAAAAGAAATCGTAAGAAGCTCCTGCTAGATTGAGATTGGTATTTAAAAGATGTTTAGTAAAATAAGCTGAAGTACATGGGGATTAAAGGAGAAGTTGAATATCCCCAGACCCTTGAGCCAGATCAAGGTTTTGTAATATTTAATTGGTTAAAAATATTGAACTTTGAGTTATATCTTTTGAAAGATAAAACGTAGTCTAATAAGGCACTTCTACAAAGAGGCTAATAAAGGAGATCGCATGACTACAGTGAGGAGACTTTACTCGACTGTTTTAATAAAGAGGGTTTTAATGTTCTTGGGTAAAGGTCATAGAGCACCTGAACCACCCGGCACCCGACCAGCACCGCCTCGGCGTGCGCCGTCGGCTTACGTCTGTCCAGCTTACGTCGGGTAGACCTCGGGCGGGTGAACGCCGAGCGCCTGGCCCCGCGACCTGCCCTGCCCGTCATACGTGTTAGCGAGACATAGCTGTAGGTACTTACAACACGTTTCTCGCGTGCGAGCAGCGGGTGGTCACCGCGGTGTCCACGCGCCGCCCGCGCGCGGATAGCTTGCGAGCAAGGCGAGGCGGTGACGGTACGGAGTTGGTGTAGTGAGTAGAGATGGGCGTTTTAAGATATTTGTGAAATCGATGCGCATCGATATCAGATATTCCGCATCCGATGTGCGTTCGATGCCAAGTGAATGTCAGTCTAGCTCTTCGATTCCATGAATCATGACTTGAAAATGTAGCCGAACCCTTTTATTTACTTTTCGGCATGGTTACTGAAAATATCGAATGTTGGGAAAATTATTACCCTAAAAATTTGCTCTCAGAGCGTAGGTTTTGGACGCATTCCAGTGCCACAAACTTTTCTGTGCCGCTGGCAAAAATTTGAACTACACTTTAGCCATAGCATTTTGACATTTTTGTTCACCGCTAGTGAGATCTTCAACGGCACAGATAAGTTTGTGGCACTGTAGCTACGGTAACGTTGACAAAAACTAGATAGCATCGCCATTAACTTATTAATAGGTTTTTAATTGGCTATTAGATTTTGGTTTTTGTTTATTATTTTAGTGATTGATAGCTGTAAACCTTCAGGTATATTACCCTAGCGTAACAATTTCATAAGTCCATATCCTAAGGTATATAGTATTTTGTTGCTAATTTGTTGCTATTTTGTGCCGCAAGAATTGATTTTGTTGCTCCATGATTTCTCGGAAAAACGCCAGTTACGCTAGCGTAATATTACGCTAGCGAAACCACAGCGATAACTCGGAGGCAAAAGCAGTTAGAGAGATCAGATGAAAGGCATATTTTGTTGCTATTTTGTTGCTGTAAGATAAGCTGGTTAGATATGAAAAAATCCCCCCCCCCCCCCTTCATGGGGGGCTAACTACCCTAATTCATAGATATTTCAGATTTTTCGTATCTCGTGAACTAAAGCAGCTAGCGGCACGAGACAAACGGCGTATTTTGTTGCTATTTTGTTGCTGTAAGATAAGCTGGTTAGATATGGAAAAATTCCCCCCCTTCATGGGGGGCTAACTACCCTTATTCTTAGATATTTCAGATTTTTCGTATCTTGTGAACTAAAGCAGCTAGCGGCACGAGACAAACGCCGTATTTTGTTGCTATAAGGTAGGCATGCTGCGTACATCATAATCACAACCCTTATCGGGGTATGACCAACCCCCGACCTCAAGACACCAGATAATTCGTATCTCGTGAGCTAAAGCAGCTAGCGACCCGAACCCAACGGCGTATTTTGTTGCTATTAGATAGGCATGCTGCGTACATCATAATCACAACCCTTATCGGGGTATGATCAACCCCCGACCCCGAAGACACCAGATATTTCGTATCTCGTGAGCTAAAGCAGCTAGCGACCCGAGACCAACGGCGTATTTTGTTGCTATAAGATATTCATGCTGCGTACATCATAATCACAACCCTTATCGGGCTATGACCTACCCCCGACCCTGAAGACACCAGATATTTCGTATCTCGTGAACTAAAGCAGCTAGCGGCACGAGACAAACGGCGTATTTTGTTGCTATTTTGTTGCTGTAAGATAAGCTGGTAAGATATGAAAAAATATCATCCCTTCATGAGAGGCTAACTACCCTTATTCTTAGAAATCTCAGATATTTCGTATCTCGTGAGCTAAAGCAGCTAGCGACCCGAGACCAACGGCGTATTTTGTTGCTATTTTGTTGCTGTAAGATAAGCTGGTTAGATATGAAAAAATATCATCCCTTCATGAGAGGCTAACTACCCTTATTCTTAGAAATCTCAGATATTTCGTATCTCGTGAGCTAAAGCAGCTAGCGGCACGAGACAAACGGCGTATTTTGTTGCTATTTTGTTGCTGTAAGATAAGCTGGTTAGATATGAAAAAATATCATCCCTTCATGAGAGGCTAACTACCCTTATTCTTAGAAATCTCAGATATTTCGTATCTCGTGAGCTAAAGCAGCTAGCGGCACGAGACAAACGGCGTATTTTGTTGCTATTTTGTAGCTATAAGATAGGCATGCTGCGTACATCATAATCACAACCCTTATCGGGCTATGACCTACCCCCGACCCTGAAGACACCAGATATTTCGTATCTCGTGAACTAAAGCAGCTAGCGGCACGAGACAAACGGCGTATTTTGTTGCTATTTTGTTGCTGTAAGATAAGCTGGTTAGATATGGAAAAATTCCCCCCCATTCATGGGGGGCTAACTACCCTTATTCTTAGATATTTCAGATTTTTCGTATCTTGTGAACTAAAGCAGCTAGCGGCACGAGACAAACGCCGTATTTTGTTGCTATAAGGTAGGCATGCTGCGTACATCATAATCACAACCCTTATCGGGGTATGACCTACCCCCGACCCTGAAGACACCAGATATTTCGTATCTCGTGAACTAAAGCAGCTAGCGGCACTAGACAAACGGCGTATTTTGTTGCTATTTTGTTGCTGTAAGATAAGCTGGTTAGATATGAAAAAATATTATCCCTTCATGAGAGGCTAACTACCCTTATTCTTAGAAATCTCAGATATTTCGTATCTCGTGAGCTAAAGCAGCTAGCGACCCGAGACCAACGGCGTATTTTGTTGCTATTTTGTTGCTATAAGATAGGCATACTGCGTACATCATAATCACAACCCTTATCGGGCTATGACCTACCCCCGACCCTGAAGACACCAGATATTTCGTATCTCGTGAACTAAAGCAGCTAGCGGCACGAGACAAACGGCGTATTTTGTTGCTGTAAGGGTCGCTAGCTGCTTTAGCTCACGAGATACGAAATATCTGGTGTCTTGGGGTCGGGGGTTGGTCATACCCCGATAAGGGTTGTGATTATGATGTTCGCAGCATGCCTATCTTATAGCAACAAAATAGCAACAAAATACGCCGTTGGTCTCGGGTCGCTAGCTGCTTTAGCTCACGAGATACGAAATATCTGAGATTTCTAAGAATAAGGGTAGTTAGCCTCTCATGAAGGGATGATATTTTTTCATATCTAACCAGCTTATCTTACAGCAACAAAATAGCAATAAAATACGCCGTTGGTGTCGTGTCGCTAGCTGCTTTAGCTCACGAGATACGAAATATCTGAGATTTCTAAGAATAAGGGTAGTTAGCCTCTCATGAAGGGATGATATTTTTTCATATCTAACCAGCTTATCTTACAGCAACAAAATAGCAACAAAATACGCCGTTTGTCTCGTGCCGCTAGCTGCTTTAGTTCACGAGATACGAAATATCTGGTGTCTTCAGGGTCGGGGGTAGGTCATAGCCCGATAAGGGTTGTGATTATGATGTACGCAGCATGCCTATCTTATAGCTACAAAATAGCAACAAAATACGCCGTTGGTCTCGTGTCGCTAGCTGCTTTAGCTCACGAGTTACGAAATATCTGAGATTTCTAAGAATAAGGGTAGTTAGCCTCTCATGAAGGGATGATATTTTTTCATATCTAACCAGCTTATCTTACAGCAACAAAATAGCAACAAAATACGCCGTTTGTCTCGTGCCGCTAGCTGCTTTAGTTCACGAGATACGAAATATCTGGTGTCTTCAGGGTCGGGGGTAGGTCATACCCCGATAAGGGTTGTGATTATGATGTACGCAGCATGCCTACCTTATAGCAACAAAATACGGCGTTTGTCTCGTGCCCCTAGCTGCTTTAGCTCACGAGATACGAAATATCTGAGATTTCTAAGAATAAGGGTAGTTAGCCTCTCATGAAGGGATGATATTTTTTCATATCTAACCAGCTTATCTTACAGCAACAAAAAAGCAACAAAATACGCCGTTTGTCTCGTGCCGCTAGCTGCTTTAGTTCACGAGATACGAAATATCTGGTGTCTTCAGGGTCGGGGGTAGGTCATAGCCCGATAAGGGTTGTGATTATGA